TTCCTAATGAGAATGGGGTGAGAGACAGTATCAAAAGCCTTCCTGAAGTCTAGGAAAACTATATCCACTGCCACCCCTGCATCCAATGATTTAGTGACCTGGTCGTAAAAGGCCACCAGGTTGGTCTGACAGGACCTGCCGCTGATGAACCCGTGCTGGTTGCCCCTGAGCATGCAGCTCCCTGCTGGCCCCTCCTGGATGCGTGCCAGAATAATTTTCTCGAACAGCTTGCCCAGGATCGAGGTAAGGCTGACTGGCCTGTAGTTCCCTGGGTCCTCTTTCCTCCCCTTTTTGAAGATGGGAACCACGTTGGCCCTCTTCCAGTCCTCCGGCACCTCTCAGTCTGGGAGCAATATTTCCATACTTGTAGCTGGAGTCATTTATTTCTGAATGGCTTGGACAAATATACTCATGGTATCCAGCCCCTGATAATAATACATAGTATGCATTAAAAAGTCATCAAAATCAACCCTGATAGGTGTTGCTTGTCAGGGAGCATCCTCATCACTAGTCTAAAGAAGGGCTGGATGTTTTACAAAGTCTGTGCCTTCTGACTAAATATATATTAAACAGCAAAAACCGAAGGCAGATTTAGTCAGCTGGTAACATGATGAGCAGATCCTTCATGCAACTTTGCTTACACTGGTAGACGAAATCAACCTTAGGACAATACTCAAGCTCATTGTTACCAATCATTTATCGTATAAACCCTATGTTCAGTCCCTGGAGGAAGCAGGACTTCTGGGTATGAAATCAATTCTGCCCTTACTCAATCACTCCCTTGCCCATCACTCCCTAGAGCGTTCTTCAAACTTAACTACAGGTTCTGGCTTTGAACGCAGGTAGTTCCTCAGCAGCAATCCCATGATTCCTTCTTTCTGACCTCTCAGGAACCCAGTCATGTTGCAGAAAAGATGTGAGCCTGTTCCCACACTTTCTCATTTTGAGCTCTACAGGACAGGGACAAGGAAGCAGGGACAGAACCACATGGAACAAGCCCTAACACTGTTGCCAAACTGCTGCCAGCACAGTCCATCTCCCCAGTGACCTAAACAGGCCCTGCCCCATGGGGAATTCTGCACCCACCTAACTCAGGCAGCACCATAACACCACAAGCCCTGGTATCTTTCACATATGGTGGCACCTGGTAGAACAGATCCAGTGGAGCAGGGCTGCCTTGCAACCAGTGCCAAGGTACCTGGTAGCCAGAGATATTGGGGTGGACAAGAGCCCTATGGAGGTAGCACAAGACTCCTGTACATCTGTCAGGTTTAGGGGTAGGTTGCACAGGCTTCTTCTTATAAGGATAAATCCCACTCTTCCAAGACATTTTATGGGAGCCTCCATGACAGAATCATCCCAGGGGACTTTCACTATTGAATAGGTCGAAATGCAGAGCTCAGGAGAGTGTTGGTTGTAGCCATGTTGGTCTGAGGACCTAGGCAGACAAGATTCAGGAACAAACACCCTGAAAAAGGATGTGCATGCCTGAAAGCTTGCAAAGAACAATTTTTCCAACAATTTAGTTCACCTAATAAAAGATATCACATTTACCCGAAGAACCTTGTCTGGCAAGGACAGGAGAAGCACCCAGACAGCGCCAAGGGGAGGCACTAAGAGCAGAAAATTCAACTTGGGCACCTGGATGAATGCAGCCCTTGGTGCGTGAGCAGCAGGGGCAGGCATGAGCAGGCTGAGAGCAGGGCAGTGTTATTAAAAACGTTGATTGTGTGCATTGAGAAGAAAGGGGATTGGAGAAGTGTGGTTTCAGCAGGTGGACAGGGACTTGGCAGACACAAATTGGGCCTGCAGGCGGGAAGTGAGGCTTATGATGGAGATGCTGACGCCTAAGGACACCAGCAGCCATGGCCTCAGCAAGACCAGGGCAGGACATCCAAGAGGAAATCATTTGTCCCACCTGCCTGGAGTATCTGACAGACCCCATGACACTAGAGTGTGGGCACAACTTCTGCTGGGCTTGTATCACTGAACATTGTGAGACATGGGAAGAATATGGACTTTTGCAGTGTCCTGCCCATACAGTCCAGATGCAGAAGGGTTCCAGCCAAGCTGGCAGCTGGTAAATCTAGTAGAAAGCTTTAAACACTTGGAGTAAATTCCTGAAGTTGAAAAATTGAGAGAGACACAAGAAGAACTCGATCTGATCTGTGACAAGGATGAAGAGCCCTTTTCTGTGGTTTGTAAGAGATCCCCAGAGCAAAGGTTTCACCTAGTGCTGCTCATTGAGGAGGCTGCCCAGATATACAAGATAGGAAGCACTCTGATTTCATCTATTTCAATCCTTTCCTTCTCAAACGAACCTCAACTTTCCCCTATAGAGCTGCAGTTTCTCTCGCTTATTCAGCGAATGCAGCAGTCGTGGACCGAACCTCTCAGTAAAGGGAACTTCTGGCTAAAGGGCCTGAGCAATAACTGAAGAGTAAATTTTCTTGGAAGACCGTATTCATGACCAGGGAAAACACTGCTATTACCCAGACATTTCAGCCCTCTTCTTGGCAGACTTTTGAAAATAGCTTGAAACCCTTTGAAAATCAGTTCAAAGTTGGAGCTGGGGGGACCCAGGTCAGGGTGGCAGAGGGCATGTGGCTGTTGTAGGTATAGCTGGGACCATGGCCTGTTGCTGCATGTGGCTGGGCAGAGGGGGGTCTACCTAACTGCATGCAGTGAGTGCTGGGTTAATACCCTGATGCAAGAAAATATATATATCCCCAGTGCTCTCCTGATGAAGGAAAATATATATCCCCAGTACTCTGGGTGCATTCCCACAAGCATGCACATATGGTTTGCAGCACTGCAGACCCACCTGTGGTGCCGCAAACTGCACATGCCACACATGTAGGCATTCTCTGCACTGCTAATTTGCAGCGTGGGGTGAGGGGTTGACACAGGAAGATCCCAGAGGCCCTGGGAGGCCCCCAGGATCCCAGGTAAAACTTCTGGGGCCAGCCCAGGTGCTTGTCTCTAGGGAATGCACAATCCTGCTCGTGGAGATGTGCCCTCTGATTCTTAATATTCACAAGCATGACTTTTTTTCTGTAGTCCCTATTACAAATAATCCAAGTTCCCCTGAAACAAGTAACCTGGGATTCCACCTTCGGACCCAGGCTGTCCTCTGGGTGAGGTTCCAGCATGGTCTGGGCTGGTGCTCAGCAGACACAACTAGATAGACAAGTATCCCTTACTCTGCCCTTAGTAATTGCAGCAGGGACATTTAAGAGGAAGACACAAGCATATTTGTTGCTTTATTTATAAAGTCAATGCAAAGCTTAAACAAGTAGTTGAGAGCAACAGCTGGTAATGAGAACAGATGGGGAGGAAGGAAACAAAAATATTGAGGAAATTCCTAATGTCACTCAAAGCTCTCCACTACCCATGTGCTGATATACAGAATTAGCGAGTTAGTGTCACCTTTGGAGATATATGAGCAATCTCCCTTTTGCACTCTCTTTCCTGTTATCCCTCTTTCCTTCAATCCTTTCTAGGCCCCCCCTTTTTTTTCTAGCATGCATTTCCCTTCCTTGTTCATTTTCCTCTTGTCTTTCTACACACCTCTGTTTCCTAGCAGATCATTTCATTTTGGATTCATTTCTTTTCTCCTCAGGAATCTCCTTTCACTTGAATTTGACTTATGTGCCTTGCTTCTTCCTGTCTCATCATCTAGTCTTTTGCTTAGCTTTAAAAGCAGAACTTGTAACAATAATGGGAGACATCAATTATCCTCATACAGGGTGTGTCTATGGGAGACATATACTGTGGAGCTGACTGATTAGCTCTGCAATAAAATAGCAGCATCTACATGTGGCACTATTAGCTCCAGTAAACTAATAAACACCACTGTAGGATAGTATTATCCAATACAAACACCATCCTATGGTGGTGTTATTTAATGTGCTGCAACACGCGTATAGATGCTGATGGGGCTGGTTAGGGATTGAGGGTGCTTTAGTGCAGGGGCTGCCTGCTGGCTAGCCACACACTAAAGTACCCTTGTGCTCCAGCCAGCCCCTCCATGGCACTTTGAGCTGGTTTGGAACAGCCCCAGGCTGGCAGACTGAACCCCGGGGATCCCTGCCAGCCAGAGCTGCTCTGCCCTGGCTCAACATGCTGCAGTCCTGGGTGTATGTGCAAACTGCACACCCAAGAGCAAAAACTTCTGTGAGATCTGCACTAGAGTTGTTTCAGGCACAATAATTTCACATGTAGACATGCCCACAGACTAGGTAAAGGTGAGATCCACAGATAAAATGTCTGCCTAAGTTTTGCTTTCTAGAACAATGAGTCCTGAGGCTCACAAGAGAAGCAGCAATTCTAAAACTAATCCTGAGTGATATACAGGACCTGGTTCATGGGGCAGTGGTAGGTGAGTCACTCTGAAATAGGAATCAGGATGTAATCAGAATTCAGCTTTTTAATGGAAAGGAGTTAGGCAAAAACATCCACTGCCTTGATATTTAACTTTAGTAAAGTAAATTACACAAAAATGAAGAAATGAGTTAGAAAAAGGTTAAAAGGAAGAGCGGAGGGGGAAAAGGCCAGTTGGCAGCCTGGAAGTGTTTTAAAATATTGTATTAAAGTCTTCAGGTGTGCTGCAGATCAAAAAAGCCTGTGCCTAGTGGTCCATGATTTAATAGCCAAGTTAAGGAGAATATGAAAGGCAAAAAGACATCACTTCAAAAGGGAAGGTATGTCCAGATGAGGAAAACAGGAACAATGTGCAAACTCTGGATGGTCAAATGCAAGAAGTCAGGCAAAAAAAAAGTGTTTTGTGAAAGATGCTGAAGTTAGCAATATACATTTTTTTTATAAAGCATCAGAAGCAGATAGCCAGTCAGACAGCTGATGTACAAGGTGCATTTAGGGATGGCAAGGCCAGGGCAGAGAAGCTAAATGAATTCTTTGTACCAGTCTTTACTACAGAAGATATTAGGGAGATCCCCACACTGGATCAGTTTTTCTAAAGAGAGAAATCTAGAGACAAATCAAATTGAAGTGACAGGAGAGGAGGCTGTAGAGCAAATTGATCAATTAAACAGCAGCAAGTTGCTGGGAACAGATGATATTATTCACATGGCCAAGAATTCTGGAGAAACTCAAATGAGAAACTGCAGAACTCTTGGCAACAGTGTGTAATCTATCATGACAAATAGCCTCTGTGCCACAGGACAGGTGAATGGCCAACATAACATCCATCCTCAACCAGGGCTCTACAGCAGAAAACATCACTATGTTAGTGTATAAACCCATGGTGCACTCATATCTAGAATGATGCATGCAGTTCTGGTCCCCACATCATGGAAAGGATGTTGTGGAATTAGAGAAAGTACAGAGAAAAGCAACATAGATGACCGGAGGTATGGAGCAGCTGCCAAACCTGGAGAGACTGAAAAGCCTAGGACTCATCAGTTTGAAAAGGAGAAGGCCAAGGGGGGGATATGACAGAAGTCTGTGGAATCGTGAAGGGTGTGGATAAAGTGAATAGTGAACTACTCATCACCAACTCCCTGGTTTGAGAATTAGGGTCTTAGGGAATATATGTTATGTTCTTGGTCAGTCCTTCCATTGCTGAATTGTCTGTTCTCCCCAAGCTCGCAAATCCTAATTCATTCTTTCTCTGCTGCACCAACATCTCTTTATCCCACAGGCCTGAAATTAGTGATACCCCCTTTCCCTCAACAACCCGCAGAATTATGTTGATCACTGAAACCTCACCAGTGCCTCCAGGCCCCTTAGGGCACCTTTGCTCCTTCTGCAGTTCCAGGGGCTCTTCATCCCAGATCTAGTAACACCTGATAAAATGGGATAGGCTGGTCTATCCAAACTGCAGCCTGCCATCTTAAGCAGGTTCTGGATTATAGCACAGGGACGGCTGGAGTGGGTCATAAAGAGCAGTCTGTTTCTTCATTCCCATGTGCCTCACAGTGTGAGCTGGGATCCTCTGCAGACCCAAAGCCATGGGTGGATCTTACCTCCAGCAAAAAAGGCTGGTGGAAAGGTGTAGATTGGATCCTCAGTATCAGCATCTAGAAATGCCACTTTCCCTCCTTCATAGTCCAGATACACCCGGACCCTCTTGGGGACCTGCTTCAGGGACAGGGGGGTAGGCCCAGGGGCAGTGAGAGCCCAGAAGTCACCCTCCCACCACTGCACAGCCCAGATCCCCCCGTCAGGGTTACGGCTGATCTGTCCCTTCCTCCTCACAGACTCTCTGGCGACCCCCAGAGCCCAGCCTTCCCCTTTCCCCACCCCCACCTCCCAGCAGTGCTTCCCTGAGGTGAATCCCTCACGGCCCAGCACGCAGCACCACATGTCAAATCTCTCAGGTATGTTGGGCCGATCCTGCTGTGTGTCTGCACCTCTGACACTTGTCCAATCCTCAGACAGGGAGAGCTGGGGATGAGCCGTGTCTGGGTCCAGAGTCACCTTCACTGGGAGGGGAGAATCACAGCATGAGGGCAGAGCTCAGCTCTGGGGCAGGAGGGGACCATCCCTCACCCTCCCCAGCAGCCCCATTGTAGTTGGGATTGTCTTGGACCCCAGAAGCTGCCTTGGCCCTGGACCTCTAAGGCTGAGCAGATACAGCCCTGAAGCTCCTCAGTCTGGCACTGGGGAGAGCCTGGCCCTGGGGAAATGGGGAGGACGTGGTAGCAAATCCACAGGGAAATGCAGGAAAATCTCAACCCAAACTCCCCAGGCCCGAGCTCAAATGGTTTTGGTGCTGGACTGTGGGAGGGTTTTTCAAGTGAGGGGAAGTGAGTGCTATGATGGGACTTTTCCATGAATTTAAGGACAATCTCCCCAGCACTTACCCTTGTTATACGATCCCTGAGGTTCCCGCATACCCTTTTCCAGGTCAGATGGCAGAGCATCTGCAGGAGGAAAGTGTCACAGAGATCAGCTGTGGTGCTGTCTGGTTCATAACACCTCCTGGCCCAGCTCCTCCCTCTCTGTCCTGAGTGCCTGTGACTGAGAAGAGAGGCCCTGGCAGCTCCATCCTTGGCTACTGGGAGCTGCTGCTGCTGTGGCTACAAAAGGTGCTAGATCAGCTCCTTGCTGCCCAGAGGGGAAGGAAGGGAGCTGCAGTTGTCAGGAGGGCATCAGAGAAGGAGGGCAAGAGGCATGAACCTCATGGGGTCTTGGTGTTCAGCCCCTCCTGTCCTCCCACGGGGACAGAGCCACTCAACGGCAGAAAATGGGGAGGTAAAAGGGGTGTCAGCAGAGCAGCCCCTGCCAAAGGGATGTGGACCACAGCTCTCTTCTCTTCTGTTTGGAGGGGTCAGTGCACACCTTGGTGCCAGCTGGGGAAGTCCTGGGACCCAGCCAATTTGCTTGCCTGCTCCAGTGGCCTCTACTGGGGCCTCACAAGTGTGAAAAACACAAGGTGTGAAACTTCACCCAGGCCACACCCTATCCACTCCACTCCTGTCCCCTCAGCTGCTGGCACTTCCCCTCCACTTCCCTCATCATCAGCCTGTCAAGAGGGGAAATCTCATAAGGTTTGGTGACAGAGATCCCCCAGGCTAGAATAATTACTTTGGCAGGAGAGGGGTTCTGCTTTTTTACAAACCCTTGCATAAGATGAGGAGGTATATCTGAAATCCATTTCTGATTTAATGTAGAGTCCTAGGTCTGGCGGCCAGAAAGAGTTAGTGTCCAATGGCTTTTTCCTGGAGCCTGCATTATCAGTGCAGTGGGTTCAGTTCCTTCCTCTCATGAAAGAGACACAGGCTTTAGTAGGCCCAGACCCCAGATGATTAATGTGCACAAATAAACTTTGGAGCTTATTGCTCTGGAGGGTTTTTTTGCTCCTGGGAGCACCATTTTGACCATGCACCCAGGAACACAAAACTCCAGAGCATATCGCTCTAGTTTATTCATACATAGCACATGGAGCGTGGTTGGAGCAGCCTGGGCTGGCAGGGGACCCAGGGGTCAGCCTGCCAGCCCAGGGCTGCTCTGGCCGGGCTCCATGTACTGTGGAAGTGCTGGCTGAGACACAAGGATGCTTCAACGAGGGGAGCCTGCGCCTCAACAGGCAGCCCCAGGGCAGAAGCACCCTTGTGCCCCAGTCAGCCCCATCAGTTTATTAATCTACTGCGTCCTAATAGGGTAACACGTGTAGATGGTGACATTTTAAGTGCAGAACTAATTAGACAGCTCTGCAGTAAATGTCTTGTGTAGATGTGCCCCGTCTCCTCACTCAAACACAGGAACAAAATCCCTATTATAACCCCACACCTCTCATGCTCCCCACGATCATTTGTTAGTACCTTGAAACTTCCTGAAAGTCTCCTTGAGAGTTAGATTTTGTTCAGACAAGTTCCTGAGTCTTATTTCCAGGCCAGGGGAAATCATCCCCAGAAGCTGGAACTCCCCTCTCTTGCACCTGTTGAAAAACAGTTGTATGTTATCTATTTTCCTTTTTTAATTCAATCTCATCCTTGAGAAAGATGCTAGATTGAGGGACTTGGAGACCAGTTTCCTTCATGTACTTCAGCCTCAGGGCAGGAGATAGTGCCACCTCCCACCATTGGGTGTTGAAAAATATTCTTCATCTTTGAACTGTCCAGAAAATTTCTTGGAAAAAAAGTAGCTGAGACTCCATGGCCAGTTGGCTCATGGTCTGGAGGCCAGGACGATTCCCCAGGGATGAGAAGTGAAAGGCCCAGATTCCAGCCCTACAGTCCTCAAGCAGTCAGTCCCCAGGGATATAACGTCCCTGTAGGCCAGTCCTTCCCACCCCAGGGACAATCCCAGACTTTGTATTAAAGGGGGAAAAACCAGGATGCAAAATTTATCAACGATCTATATCCAAATGGTGACCCTGCCCCACATGCTGTGCTGTGCTGTCTTGAGGAGTTGTGACTACAACGTGATATCCAAGCCTCTTCTCAAAGTATGAAGGAGCAGCATACCTTCTCAGTGAGCTTCTGATGTCCTAGGGGGGAACAAAAAGAGGGAACTAAGTGTCTCATGCCATTCCCTGAGAAGCCTCCTACTCTGGGGGGTGGGGGGATGCACTCTCCCCTCAGACTCTGAGTGCTACACATGAGTATCTGGGGAAATCATAATTTATTGATCCCCCCAGGCCCATGGGTTAGGCCTTTCCCTTCCTTGTGCAGGGATCAGAAGAGTTTAATGTGCCTCACCTGCAGGAGGTCACTTGGTGGCTGCTGGCACTTCTCCTCCATCTCCCTGATCAGGCTGTTGAGATCAGAAATTTGCTCAGAGAGTTTGCTACCAGTTTCCTCCTGACTCTTCTCTATCTCCCTGTCTAGCTCTCCCAGCCAGGCCAACAGGAGTTGCTCTTGTTCCTCTAGGAACTGCCGCAGTTGCTCAAATTCAGACACAATCTTCTGCCTCTCGGCTGCTGCCTTTTGCTGCCATGAACAGGAGAACTCAGGTAGGGGAGGGTAGGAGCTTTGAGGAGAGTCAGGAGACACTTTGTAAGTCCCTGGGGGCCTGTTTGCAGAGCTTGACCCTAGGAGCTCTCATGGTCTTTAACATAAGTTGGGGTTACTCAGCCCTATCAGGCTGAAGCCTCAAGCACCTTGCCTGGCATCTTTGTGCTCTGTTTATATTTGGAAGGTTTCTCTGCAGCCCGGGGTGCTTATACCATATGCAAGGGAGAAGTTGATGGCTTCTCCCCTGCCAAGGCTCCCCCCAACAAAGCTGAGGGCTTGCAAGCCCTGCAATGCTGCAAACCATGGTCACAAAACAACACACACAATTTCATAAACACACAGAGCAGGAGACACCCCTTCATCTTGATCACCAGTAACCACAAGCACCAACCTGATATTTCTGGTGTTTCTGAGTTTCAGTCAGTTTCAGTTCTTCGAGCCTTCTTCTTTCTTCCACGAGATTCTCCAGGTGCATCTGAATTTGCTTCTGTGGGGAAGGACAATTCCTTGGGTGGGTTTTCCTTTGAGAAGGGAACAATCGAGGCTTTTCTCTGCCATAACCAGCTTTGCCTCCTTGCAATTGCAGTTCCGATGACTTTGGGGGCAGGAACAACTGATACTATTGGCCATGCTACCAACTGTATCCTGGCTGTCTCTGCTTACCCAGGTGGGTTACTGAATCAATAACAGCAGTAGGAATAGTACAGTAACAGCAGAAGGAATAATACTGGACTGTACAGGAGCCAGAAGCATGGGGCTTAGACCACAGGGCAGCCTTCTCTGATGGCTTGGAAAGCTTTGCATTCAAGGGACTTTCTGCCTGGGTTGGGATGAAATGAGTGACAGACACAAGACTGACCAGTGCCAGTCAGTTCTTTGCTGCCTGTTCAGCTCCCGCTGTTGCAGGAAGATTTGACACCAGAGGACAGCAGCAGCTCTTGTAGGTCTGGTGTCCTACATGCACCCATAGTGGCAGCCAGTGCTTATCCCTGGAGGGGTGTAGACAGGGCCTGAAAGAAGATGGCTTAATCATGCTAATCTCAGTCCTTACAGAAACCGTCTAGCATTTGATTTTGGAACGGAAATGGTGAGGATGAATCACTGGTTACATCTATGAGATATGAATTTTCATTTCTACCTAGGAGAACTTTTACAATCTTTGCTCTCTCCTTTGCCTGATGAAGTGTGAATGTGCCCGAAAGCTTGCAAATAAATAAAACAACTTGTTTGCAAATATCTAGTTGGTCTAA